TTCATAATAGTCCCATATGGGACTATTATAAACACCAGTTAGATATAATGGGGTAATTCTGAACACTATGCTAAAATAATAACAATATTTAAATTTTTGTATTTAATCACTTTTCTAACAAACAATACGTCGGATTGAAAATCGCCCGTTAGAAAAATTGTAGAGAATCTAATTCTGAACAAATGGATACTAAATTCTAAGCGATTAGAATTAAGAATAAAAATTTTTAATAGTAAAACAACAAATTACACTACCAGATTATTTTATTTTTGCCTTATTTCTGCAGTCTTTTAGAAAAGAAATTTATAAAATAGATAAATACTTTTAAATTTTAAATATTTTGAGGTATCATATATACATTCATATATTATGAAGTCACAATAGAGAAAAAAAGCTAAAAAATATATATATATAATTCTCAAAACAAGAAACCAAATATCATACTCGGGGTGTAGGTGTGAGTGCTGATATGAAGTATGTATTCATCCATATCCACGCCCACACCAACACCCACACCCATCCACACCCACACACCCACACCCACCTACACCCACCCACACCCACACCCACACCCACCCACACACCCACACACACCCACAAGTAACGCTCATCGCTTCGACTCGCTTCACGCTCGATTCTATGATCAAGCGTTTGTGTATAAATTCTTTATTACTCTCACACAACAAAAGATATCGTCCTGATTTTTTCACCGTTTTGAAGCATGAACTATACGATTTTGTTCTAGATGAAACAAATAAAGTGAGGGTGTGGGTGAAGAGAAGACTAGAATAACACCCACACCCAAACTATATTTTCAAATAGTCGTCACATCTTTTGCGTACTTTTTTTAGATTTGCTCATATAGTTACCTTGAATCGGTCTACACTGACTGAAATTTGATGTAACAAATTTTTATTCATGTTTATTTTTTTCTGTATTTTTATCAAATATAATAAAATTTTCTAGTCTCTTGTTATTATGGACTCGACTTTATTTCAACAGGTAATTTTCAATTGTCTTGATATCGATTATTGCTTTCTGAATTAGCAAATTATAGATTAATCTCACCTCTTGAATAACTTATAAGAAAAAGCAATTTTTTTCTTCAAAAGAATAAGAACATTGACTAATCAATGAATATGATTGATATATGTTCCACTAAAACACTTGTTTTTTTAATTTCAGTAATCGGATTGGTGTTAGAAGCAATTAGAATTGAAATGATGAATAATAAAAATTAGACTGTATCAGGTTGACGTTTCATAATATAGTGATGGTCTTTCCATTCTCCATTAACATAATCACAGTCACCAACTTTGTAAAAACCATAGTAAAAGTAGAATTTTTGTGCTTTGAGATTTTGTGACAAGACTCTTAACCATATAGGTCGTTTCGGAAAATGTTCTGTGAACCAGAATAAACTAACATTCATCAATTGTTGACCAAAACCATGAGATCGTCGATCACGTCTGACATAGAGACGATTGAGTACTCCATCTTTATTTGAACAAACATCAGAATGAGGAATCTCATCAATAATACAAGGACTAACAACAGCATAAGCAACAATTTCGTCGTTTGTCTTATCTTCTATAACCCAAACAGCTCGTTTTGGATCATTTATTTTATTGGCAAACCATTGTGGACTTGCTGATGAATGAAAATAAGAATCGAGAAATTTTTCAGGATATGTAATACACAAATCTTCAACAAAGGTCTCTCGAACGGTTCTTTGAGAAAGTTGAGATAGTGCATCAATATCGGATATATCAGCTCGACGAAGAATAAATTGATTTTCCATCTATCTAAATCACTTTACGTCAAATTAAATTTTGTTCAAAATCTAATAAATAAAAAATCTCCAGAAAACCGATGTAGTATCAATAAAAAAAATCTATTGAATGTCTATTTAACTCACCTTTCCTAAATCGCTTCGTGTAGAAAAAGATAACATTACCAATGATTTGTTGTATACTTTAAACATATGATAAGAAAAGTTTTCGTTCTTATTATTATTTATTTAAGAGAGCCATGTGACCTATAAATGTTCTGTAATCATTTTTCTTTTTTTTACGAAATAGACTAATATAGCTTATCTACGATTGACACGCTTTCTCATGTATCGTCTGCATGTTGCCATACCTCAGTCATTTTTGATGATAAACAACTGAAATTGTTCATCGTGTAACATGTTTTCAATGTTTACTTCGTCTAGTTATAAGTGTAAAGATTCAAAATTGAATAATACATTCGTTGAAAAAATCTAATTATACTAGAGCAATATTCGACTTGACAAAATTCCTTAAAAAAAGTAGATTTTCCGAAGACAATTTTCACTGTTAATGCAACCGTATTCTATTTATATGATAAATGATGTTCAAAACGTGAGTATAACAAAACTAGCGCTTATAAAAGAAAGGTTGACTGTGCTTAGGAACATTCGTTTATCGATATCAGTATTATAACTATCCAGAAAGAAATGTCATCTTGTAGTTATTTTGATTTGATCTCTTTATACGCTGTAAAAGTAAAAGAAAAGTTGTTGCGTCATAAAAAGAAAAACAATATACAAAGATGCTTTTTCCTTTCCTTCGTTTGGCAAATGACAACGGACGGGGGCGTATAAGCAAGGGAAAATAGGCTCCTAACCATTTATCAACAGTTCATTAGTAATTCTGTGCAGAAAAGCGAGGCGAGCTTTTTATGTCAAATTCAAGGAATATTTTCAATATCCAAGGTCATTTTAAATGATAAATATTCTCAGAATACATAGGGGTCTTATCGCGTCTTTGGTGTGTTCTTAGGTATATTCGTATTGACTCAGTATTTGATAAAGAAGTAGAAGTTTTTTGGGGCTTTTGTAACCTTAATTTATCGTCATTAGAAAGAGCCTTTAATTCTGCATCGTTTCATATAAGGACTATTATTTTTTTATGAACTATTAAGGACATCAATAACACTACTCTTCTATTGAACACGCTATTGAGGGTCCTATTGAACAAAGTTTTCTTGCATGTCTCTAACATTAATTTGATCCGTTTCAATGTTTTTTAGGTACGAGCCGCTTTCGTTTATATACTATTCGATAGAGCAAAGAAAGGGCTACAAAATGATATATAATTCATTTGATTTCCACTTGATTCAGGATGTCTAAAATGCGCAGCAATGGTTGAAAGTATTAAAAAGTGCACTTTTTTGGCTAATATTGAGTGAATTTAATGAAACTAATCGTATTTTTAACCAAAAATAATGGTATATTTGAAATCAGTACAAAAGACTGAGTCGATCTTATATACTTTTCAAAGTCTTCTGAGCACTTTTTTTTTTCGTCCAAAATTTTTCTTCTCAGGAATAGATTAAAAAATGAAATTCATTAAAACACTGTTTTCATTAATTAATACGTCATGAACACAAAAACCTGCATAAAGATGATCGAAATGACGGTTGTACAGACGTTGAGACACAGTTGTGTTGCTAAACTGAAATACTATGACTAGGTTTCATCGTTTTAAATATGATCTGAATAATCACAATTTTCCATAAAATAGGAAAAGAATCGACAAAAATGGCCAGTTTAAACTGAGTGCAATAAAAACGGAAAAAAACTAATGCCTCTAAATAATGGTATGCCATTTTTTAATAAAATATAAACTGTCGTTCAAATGAACATCTGAATGAAATAGTACTTGATGAAGACTATGTCTTTATTTTCTTGTCTCTTTGATGAGATAAACCTCGTTAAGCCTGTTAGAATACCAATAAAGGGATATGTGAGCTTGTATTGCCACGAGTGAGTGGAGGAAGAATAGAGAAAAAACAGGGAAAACTTTTTTCTTCTGTCAGAATCGTTTATCTCTTGCTCACTGCACATTCATTCTAACAGTTTCTTTTCATTTAAAATATTAGCTAAAAACTATATACTTTCTTTGACGACAAACTAGTACTTCATTATTATGATGATATCCAACACAGTAAGATTTTGATCATATTTTTTTTATTCTTATTCCATCAATTCCTTGTTCATCATTTGCTCTCTACCATCGCCTATTCGATCGAGCTTTACGGCGGGTTCTCAATAATCATGTCATTGTTATTCTTCTTTTTATTTGCTTGATTAGTGAAGTAACGTTTTATCCATGGATGCTCTATTATTATCAATGCAAAGGTTTGTGGGAAAGACCATGAATCTTTTGTGTGATCTGGGGATTCTTGGATTGGTCACTTTATGTCGTACACGCTATGCTCTTTGGATGGGTGACGACAGAAAGAGGGTGTGGATGTGAATGTAAGTCTTCTCTTTATGTGCACCCACAGTCACTCCCACACCCTACTTGAGTGTTGTTCGATTTAGAAACAAGGCTGTAGTTATCGGATAACGATTCTGATCGATCTACACCATAATTGCTTGACAGAGAAAATTGATGCTGCCAATTTTTTTCCAGTAATCCATGTGGTATCATGAACTTGATACATCTTCCATCCGAAAGTAACGAAATCGAAACGAGTAGAATATAGAGTATTGTCATTTTGACAAACACTGAATGTCTGAATGTCGGATACGTCAATAAAACAAGACAAAAAGAAAGAATTTCTTGGTCAACGTGATATAAGCTGCTTAATCTTTAACACAAATAATAAAAAGTTCTAGAATGTACGTACTGGTCTATATTGACTTCTTGTTTATTTTCAATCTTCTAATACTTATTTCGTTTGCATACAATGCGTGTCTCTTTTAATATAAGAAAAGCAACTAAGCATACACGAGAAGAAGAAGAGAGAGGGTGTGGGTGTGGGTTAATAGACGAGTTACACCAAAGTCTACAGCCACACCGATCCACATCCACACCCCACATCCTTATAACGGGTGGGTAAAAAAGAGTTGTACTTTCGGTATTTTTACGTTATTCTCTCTTTTCTTCAGTCAATTGAGCGATCATTTTCAATCAAAATATTTCGCATAAAATTTCTTATCGAAAATGTAATCGTTGTTTTAAAATGGAATGATGAAAAGAGAAATGATAATTTCGAGATCGAAAGGCATGGAAAAAATTATTTTATAAGCAGATCTCAATCGATTTTACTTAGTAAATATTTGATAAATCAAATTATCGAAATAATGATCTTATGGACTTTGAAATGCTTCATTGCTCGCCCATAATTTCAGAAAAATTTACTGTGATTTCATATCGTACGACATTACATCACATTTTATGTATTTTCAAGAAAATACGATAGTTCGTCACTAAGTCTAGAAAAATAAACAATAAAGTTTTATCGAATCTTTCAATTTGAGATCCCATTTCTTAAACTATAAGTAACTCATAAGGTTTTATGATTGAATGGGAGAATTTTATGCATTTTTCTTGCATTCTAGTAAGGAAAAGATGTTCAAAGTATGCCATATTTATTTCCTACCTTCTTGGTACGAAAAAGAGAGATCTGAAAACAGAAGAAATTCTGATTAAAATATGGTTCCAGTATTCTTAAAACTTCTTGAAAATTCTACTTTACTTTAAAAAGTATAAATTTACATTTTTCTCACATTATTGTAGTTTAAATCATTCCTACTATAATTTCTCATTTCATTATTCTATTTTAAAACAACGATTGTATCTCTTGTAAAGATTATCACACGGAATATTTTGATTAACAAAAAGGACGATCAAATGACTATAGAAAAGAGAGAATAAAGTAAAAATACTGAGAGTGCAATTCTTTTTGGCCCATCCGATATATTCGTCAAGATAAATCTATTCATCTTATTGAAATGATTTCGATGTCGGAACAAACACATATTTATAGAAAAAAAAACCAGTTCGAGCAAAAGAAGTTCTGCCATTTGATTATAGTATCGAATAGGAGATGACTATTGATAAAATCAAACTTGATCGATGAGTGGCTTAAAGGGATTAAAGAGAAAAAAAAATTTTACTCTTGTTTCTCGAAAAAGTCTTGTGAAATAATGTCAACAAATAAACCCATAGTTTGGAATAGAATTGTTGCTGCTTTAGTAATGTTTATTTTATTCTAGATTGATGAGTTCACATATATCAAATTTCTTTTTATAAATAAGAATTTTTTGTTTTGTAACCTCATTCTGATTGTTCAGTTCTGTGATCGATTTCATGCGCTGCATTTTTTAACGCCTTCGTGGCTGAATAAAGTTCACGTACACCAAACGAAGGATGTTTCTGCCATCCGTGTGGAAATGTTTCTTTCTCGAAGAATAACTTTGCATCTTCAATACTAATTCGACCATGTTTGCCCAAAATATGGAGAAGAATAGCAGCTTCCGTCCACATGGCTTTTTCAATGCTTTGATTCCATAAACATTGTGGATTATTTGCATGACTGTCTGCTTTAAAATATATACGAGCGGCAGCCACATCTTCCGTAGTTAAGAATTTTCCATCTTTCGAAAATGATAGAAATTTATTAAAACGTTCTTGATTGAATTTTCCTTGTTGATTATTGGACAAGGTCGCATCAAGTCTACTGAGCGAGCCATCATGTTCAATACTTTCAGAGGAATGAAACGAAAGATCTGAGAGTGAAAGTAAACCATTTTTGCCCACAGTTTTGTATGCTTGTTTAATAATTGTTCTTGCAGCTAGCCAACTTAAACCCATTTTCTTCTGAATAAATATAATGATTTCACATCAAACTAAGAAATGCTTCTACCTGCAAAGCCAATTGCAACATTTCGGGTGTGATATTTCTGCCATCTCGTGGCAAATAACCATGATTAGCAAGAGCATTCAATGCAGGACATGGTGAACGTGAATCATTCAGTCCGGGTGCTACATATTCATATTGCGATTCATCAGCGAACAGTCTACCGGATTTCGAATTACCCATGATCACCTAGACTTGTATTGCTTAAACGTCAAATGAAAAAGCAGCAGATAATTCGATACCAAGATAAATATATGTATGCACATGCTATTTGATACCGATTTCTTTCATCACAATATTCTCTTATTTTACATGCAAAAAACATGATGAAGATAAAGAACACAGGTAAGACAGGCTTAGTTATTCGTGTCAAACAAAATGGATATACATATTTGATTTAGTTGAGAAGAGAAGCGTCTTTTTCTCTTGTAATCAAAAAATACTCTTTTTTTTTCATTCTACTACAATGGAGAACTGATCAAAATTCTTTTAAAATCTATTCGATAATCCCTATTTTCAATAATCGATAACACAATAATCGTTTAATAAAGAAAATTTCATGTACAAAACGAAGAAATTCGTGTCATTTGACGATTAGCAGGTCTAAAAACGTAGATGATATTCAAATGGAGAATGATCGTGAATTTAAATTGACATTATTAATGATAACTGATTTGATCCAATTAAGAAACTGAGAGGAAGCAGGTGAATATCGATATGGCAAAGATCAAGGTCATCTTCCACTGGTCTAACAACAACTAAATCCTCAATAAAATATTCTTCACTTGATCATCGAAAAAATAGAGATTGATCTTCAACTGAATTATGTGGCAGCAATTCGATCGAGTACATATGAAAGACTTCATTTATCTGTTGAATTTTTCGCCAAAAAATTGATAGAATAGGCCACTTTTTTGTAAATTTCAACATATGAATATTCGAAATGTTACTCTCGATTCAGCAGGAGTAACAAACTATGACGATATCAATTATTCAATTTTTCGAAAGTAAGTGCCAGTTTCCTTCTTCAATATTAATCCTGTAATATTCTTCACACCAATTTTCTCTACGTAACAATCCATCATGTATAGATATATTTTGCCTTTATAAATCACATCACAGGCCGTTTTTATCGTTGTTTTATTCTTGAAATGTTTTTTAGCACATCTATTTCATTAGATGTAGTGTAAAAAGATAAAGACAATAAGATAGTTATTATGCGTGTCTACCAAGAGAAAGTCATTTCTAATTTGTAATGTAACATCTATCTCAAAAGATGAAGTCAACATTTTTCTATCGGAAGTAGAAACTTTGGCGCAAAACTTTTGCAATGCACATTCATTTATGGGAGAAATAGAAACGTTTTTACAGAACTAAAATATGTCGGAAGAGCAATTAAAACAAGCCAAATATGGTTTTAGGAACAGATTTTTACGTCTTTTCAATAGCAGCAACGCGTTCCTTTTCACTATTCGTATATTCAAACTCGAAAAATATTTTTAAATAATCTATCGAATTTAAATGCTGTACGGGTGAAGATTCGTACAAAGTGCACGAGGCATGCAATTAAAATTGGACAAATACCCTAAATATGATCCTTGGGGTGTGGGTGTGTGTGTGGGTTCGGGAAGAGAAGAGATCAACACCCACACCCTCCATAGACGAATTTTAAACGGCCGGATCTGGACTTCTTAACCAGACCGGAAACAGCAGTATATGACTCGTATCCTGTCGCCGTCATAAGTCGCCGGAGCCGGGCGTGGGAACCATACTGGAAACAGGTATCTGTATCAGGCGATCGCTTCCGGACTCCGGAACTGACGGGAATTACGCAGGAAATGGAGGTCAGAACCGTTTTTGGAATACGGCCATCCTGGAATCGCCGGAAATTCATCGGATCAGGCGGTTTCCTGTCGTACGTCTTCGACCTGGGTTTACAAGTAATCATTAAGTTCATTTTATTAATCCTGTTACAAACGTTCATAGGCAGTCTGTCGAGAACACTTATAGGAATGGCAAATGCTAAAGAAATATTTCAAATTTCGTCAAGTTCTGCTGAATTCATAGTTTCGTGTATATATGTGAGGGTAAGAGTTCGATAATAGACTTTTTCACATTGAGTGCAGCAGATTTTTGTAAATGAATCTGTTGAAATTTTTTTGCATATTGCATTCATCGTGTTCTAAATAAACTACAATAGTCTTCACTCAACATCTATGTTCGTCTATTCTTCTCATTTGACAACAGTGTACGCTCACTGGATGCTTTCTGTCCTGTCCTGTTCTGTCGACAGCGAAAGCTATGCGCATGCAATCTGCAGAAGAACGTCGCATTCTTTATCATACTTTGTGTATACACGCTTGACTCGTGCACATCGTGTAGGTTTGTAGATAAAAGATGAAAAGAAAAGCAAACTTCCATGTCAAACATTTACTTCTTTTTCTTCACTTTTAAGTAAAAACATCTCTTGTTTCTATAACATGTTACTTCAAACTGTTATAATGACGTCGAATTACGTAGTATTCTTTTTGCTATTGACAGTAATCCCTCAATCATTTTGTTTAAATGCATTATTCATTAGTGCTGGAGCCGCAGGTCATGTGACACCTATGTTCGAATTGGCTAAAGCAATGAAAAATCATAATATCACGTTTGTTACTAATCCATTGGCTCAAGGTTATGTTGATTTAAATTCATATGCTTCTTCTTCATTTCGGATTATCTATGCTAATGATTCATCTGATGCTTTTTTGAAGGAAAAAACCCATGAACAACAATTGCTATTGATTGTGGCTAATCATTCGATGTTAGAAGGATTCCCCAAGGTAGTACCACTACTTGGTGAAATAATAATGTCGTTATTGAACAAAACAATCTACATTTTGACGCATGAACGGTTCGATGTAATTATAGCTGGTAAAATGATCTTCGGAGTATCTCTCTTGTGCGAGAAAATCCAGACGCCTTGCGTACTCCAAGGTCCAACATCATTGCCCCATATTTTTGATTTTAATTTACCAAATCCTTTCTCATCATTAACATCAAAAGAGATGACTCAGCTTCAATATCGTATATATAATGTAGCGTTCACCATGCGTGTCATAATGAAACTGGTATCGAGATTGACACCACCACTATATACACTTTTTCACTCGCTGCCACGAATACCAGGACCATTTTATGATAGTTTTACGCTGAAGAATCTTCTATTTTCTAAATCAAAACCTTTGAACTTAATTAGTACACCACCTTCATTCTATACACCATCATATTCACATCCTTATAAAAAATATCTAGGCGCATTTGTAGACGAAACACCCGTTGATGACACTAATGATGTTCTTACTACATGGATTAAGTCAAAACCATTGAACTCTATTCTTTACGGAGCTTTTGGTAGCACTTCTGTGATCTTATACGACCGAATGTATAATTTAATTAATGGTTTGGCTATGTTGTTGCTGCAAACAGATGATAGTTTTTTACTATTAGCATTTCGTAGTACAAATTATGACACATATAAAACAGTACTGAAAAATTTAGATAACGTTGAATTTCGAGAAGTCTTGGAAAATGAAAAACGAGTACGGATTGAAAATGGATATGTCCAACAAAAATGGATTTTACAGCAGAACTCAGTCAAAGTATTTTTAAGTCATTGTGGAATGGGTTCATGTTTGGAAGCATTGTATTTTAGTAAACCTATATTATGTATGCCGTTCAATATGGAGCAATTTTCTAATGCGATTATGATCGAGAATCTTGGCGTTGGACAATCATTGTTTATGCCACCTTCTCTGTTGCAATCATTGATACATCCTTATGATTTTGTCAAGTATACTTTCACAGCTAGAAGTGTGACAAACAAAATATTAGCATTATGGATGAATATAACCTTTGAAAAAGCAGCTAGACTCATGTCAATGGAAATAAAATATGCTGGTGGTGTGAAGAGAGCAGTAGAAGAGATTGAGTTCTTTGTCAATCTCGATGGTGATCTAGATCGTTTTGCACCATTCCAAGATACATTATCATTTTATCAACGATATATGCTTGATTTGCTGTTGATATTCGTTATTTTACCTGCTATAATCATAATATACATTATATTGAAATGTTGCAAACGACAACGAAAAATGAAAACAGATTAATAAACATACTATGCTCTTGATTTATTCCAATGTTTGTGCATTTATTCGTAATAACCTATAAAGTATTGTTTTCGAATACGCGCACAAAACTACTCAGCATTTGTTTGTTTATTCAGCATTGGAAAAATTAGCTAAACAACTTCGATTTGAAATCTTATTCTGTACAGAGCAAAGCTTGAAACGAAGTAGAGAATAGAGACGGAGACTGTTTTTATTGGATGAAGATCAGACAAGGCAGGGTTATAGTTAAATCCCCGAAGTTGCTCTCTGTGAAGATTTTATAATGAAAGTATTCATATCGAGAACGTATCAGTATAGATTTTAATAAAAGGTATGTTAGAAATCATTGAGCGAAAACAAACTGATATTCTTGATTTCCGACGATTTTCAACACTCTAAAGCCTTATTAATACCGTTTGCATTTCTAATAATGACTTAAATACCATAGTTAAGACGTATTTTGGTATTCGGTAACAAAGGATAGTGTAATTCTAATGGGTGGCTCATAAAGAATGGAACACTTGCTTTCTTTTCGAAAACCAGAAGCACACTCCAAACGTTTCGATCTGAGCTCATTTGATAGAGAATTTTCCATTCTTCAAAACTACCGACTTTGTTCTTCTGATAAGCTTTTCCTACCGATGAAAAACTGAACAGACTAACCGGTGCTCATTTACCCAATTGTGATGGTTTAAAGGGCGGATGTGGCTGAGGGTGTAGGTGTGGGTGTGAGTGTGAGTGTAAGTATGAGTGAAGACCAGATCCACATCCATACCCACACTGGCAGCCACAGCTACAGCCACACCCCACAATTAGATAGAAATAAAGGCTTGCAGCAGTGCTTTGCATACAGTCGAATCGGGTGCCTCCATCCAACCAATAATCAGTCGATCATTGATGATGGTTTTGAATCATACGTAATTTTAATAAAACTGATGATCTAATTGGTATGCAAGTAAATTAGAATTCAAATTGATTAAGATTAAATTTTTTTCATCGATTATGATTAAATTTTAATCAATCATAATCAAA